TTTTTTAATTCAAACACTACACTTGATATAAACTAGAGCTCATTAATGTATAAACAAACAGGAATATGTGAGTTACCAAAGGCCAGTTTGGCAAAAAAATCCCCCCAAAACAACGCTGCATCATGAAAGGAGAAAGCAAACTCCTTTAAACAGCAGGTGGACATATTAAGCTAGTCCATCCAGATGAAGGAATTCTTTGTTCACATGTATACCTATGTAAGATGTTATATGTTAATGACCCTATGCATATTCACGTAACCACAATAAAAGGAGTGCTATGGGGAACCTGGCTGAGAGTCTGACGGAGGTCAAGTGGGTGGAATGACACTTGGCTCCAGGCAGGTCTCCCTTATGCATGAGTAACCCAGAGAACTTTGGTGACTTGTGTCTTGCTTTTTGCTGTGTAGCAAATTGTCCTTAACGTTCCAGCGAATAGGTTCATGCTACAAACCTATCAGATACTAACAAGGAGTGTGTCGAGAGATTATAAATTGTACATTTATGCAACACCTGCTGCTGTTGTGAAGATCTGAGCAGAGTAACAATTGTGTTTTAAACAGCAAATAAAAGGGCAGCTCTTTTCTTATATGCTGATTCATTACACATGTGATAGTTGATTTAATTCAGATTAAAAAATCAGATTCATAGAGAGAAACCTATTTATATCTTCTTACATTTTCTTCTGTCTCTCTGTCTCAGGTGGAGGTGCACAGTGTGACAGTGGACTGCACTGTGACCTCTTGTTTTGCCCACACTGTCATGACCTCCAAGGCATTCAACAAAGCAAGCTCGTCACAGGAAATCTTTTTTGAAGTGGAGCTGCCCAAGACTGCTTTCATCACAAACTTCAGCATGTTAGTCTGTTTCCTCTCTAATCATTCTGACAGTTTTTATAGGCCAGTCCTTCATTTCACAACTGTGCTCCAAAGGTGAATTTGTCACTATCGTGGTGTCAATTTATGTGCTTTAACATCCCTCATGTCTATCTCCATCTTTGTGCCTCACAGGGAAATTGAGGGTCAGGTGTATGTTGGAGAGGTGAAGGACAAAGAGAAAGCTAAGAAACAGTACGAGAAGGCTGTTTCCTTTGGACAGACTGCTGGACTCGTCAAGTGAGTCGTCCAGATGAACCAGAAACACAGATCATCTAAATTCACCGGAACAGCTCTCAGATATCTCTGCGACATTTTTGTTGTTGTTATTTTGTTTTTTGGCTTTTTTTCAGGGCTTCTGGAAGAAAGATGGAGACGTTTTCAGTCTCTGTCAATATTGCAGCTGAAAGCAACGTGACCTTTGTCCTGACATATGAGGAGCTCCTTCAGAGGAAACTGGGCCGATATGAGCTTTTGACCAGAGTCAAACCCAAAACACTGGTTCAGGACTTTCAGGTGAATCCAGGTTGCACAAACATGCAGTCAGCTGAGATTGAAGTCAC